ATACAATTTATCATTGTCACTATTGTTGGTACATCTATCTTACATAATATACATTCATTTTCAGGTATGAAATAAAATTTCGATTTTCTAAACATACAACCATTCATTTAATATTAAATGGTCTATTTTAATATCTCGTAGAAACGCGCTGAATTAATTTTGGCAGCTAACAAAAAAATGCTCAGCTTGTGTCTATACTCGCGTCTGCATGCTAGGTTGTGACTTTTTGGCGTTTACGCTATGAGCCCTGCAGACGGATTCTCACAACATCAGTACGAGTGAGTGTTTCTTTATTAATAAATCGTTATCTTCAAGACGTTTGCTTATATCTGCTCTCTTAAGAGTGTTCAACAATTTTTAAGAGAGTGATCACTATAAGTCAAGCTCTAAAAATAGACGCCCAAAATATGAATTTACTCTTCGTTCTTCATCTTACGAAACCAAAGGCATCAACAAACAACCTTAATTTCCTTATATGTTTTCATGGTGCTAAATACGACTTATTTTTCCCACGAGGAAATAAACGGTAGACAGTCTAGTTTAGATATTATCTAAAATAGATAATTGATGTATCATGACCTACTAACCATTAGTAGTAACTATCATCCAAATAATTATCTTTGTTTGTTAAATATTGTTAAATTATTGATCAATAGTATACTTATAAGGATAGGGTTTGAAGATGCAAACTCTCTGTTCAACAAATACATCAGTAGTATACTTAAATCAGGACAGAAATATTTGGAAAACGTGTGACGATGATACCAGTTTGTATAATATAAACATTATTGATATTTTAATAATCTATGTTCATTATTTCGTAAAATATGATTAGTCAGTTCTAAATGGTCCATATCAGCTATGATGTTATTAATAAAGTAAAAATATATAAACGATAAACGATATTGAATGAAGACAATTGTTAGAAAATATGGACTCGAGTGTAGCAAAGAGAATTATATTAAATGGAACTGATCGCTAATTGTAACGTACTAAAAGAGAAATCAGAGACGATTTGAAAGATTTTTAAAAATGAATTTGTTTCAGAAAAAGAGGATCGGTAAAAAAACGGTAAATTTAGCCATTTGAATCTTTTCCAAAAATATCAAATGACATTCATAACTTTCTTGATCACTTTCGTCCGTAGTACAAGTGGATTTTGCGGTTAATAATTAATATTTTTAGATTTACAAAAATGATTTGTCTGACATGTAAAATGTGCATCCGACTCTGAATTTTTACATACGAAGGCTACTAAAAAAGGTACTTTCGGAATTGACAAATTTAATTGAATGCATTTATTCATGCACTGAACAAGTTTAGAAAAACATTCTTAGTGTAAAATAATGTAGAGCGATAATGACGCTATCCTTTGATCTTTATAATATTTGACGAATTATCGTTTTGTTCAACTATCTTTCAAATCAAAGTGCTCGCATTTTCATTTGATGATTCGGCATTTTAAACATAGATTTAACAAAAGTGTCGATATCGAAGAACAGAAGAAGAAGAAGAAATGAAAACTATAGCGTCGTCGGACATGGCTAAAATCGTACATATTTCTCTTTTCTTTTGCTGTGATCAATTTTTTTAACATTCGACTGGAAAAAGCTTTTCTGTATAGTATAGCCTTATGTATATGAACTGTATTTCCTCTTCTGTGTACGTACAGTCAAAACGTCTTTTTCTCTTCGATGTGTGAACTGATCTCATAATATATAGACATCTTGCTTGCTACTTCTGTACATTTTTTGTTGATCGATAAAGAAATTGTTGTTGTGTGTTCTTTTGTTTCTAAAACGACATCTTTTTGAAAAAAAAGGTAGGTTATCAATAATTTTTCATCCTCATTGTTCAGAAATCATATTTTCATCTAATACAATGAACAATAAAAATTGGATCATTTCACTTACAATTGAAAATCATCTCTTATTTTTTTTTACTTTAGAATGTATAGTGATAGTGAATGTACACATAATTCTCGTTCAATTTATTCTCATCGTACGCAGCCAAGCCAACCATCAACAACGACTTATACAATTCAAGATGTTTTGAATAATCCTGATACTTTAACATTATTAATTAAATATTTAACGTCCTATGGTAAACGTTCATTAGGTGAATTTTGTGCTGTTGTTATCGGTCTCAGAGAACAACAAGAAGAACAACAACCGATAATTCGAGATATTGTACGAGCTGCTTATAAACAATATATTGAAAATTTTGAACAATCATCATATTGGCTATTAGGTATGCTCATTCTAAATAATAAAAACATTCGAGCATCTTAAATTCGATTAAGAGGCTGTATAAATTTTGTTCATCAATATGTCGCTGAGAACTGAGAGCTTACTTAGACGCTATTCAAATTTTGAGTGAAAGCTGTTCTTCATTCTTGTTAATAATGGTATGATACTTCATGATGGGCTAATAGTGTCATAATGCGATACAGTGTACTCTTTAGATAATTTTCTAATATTAATGTCTGTTTAGATTCTACGCGTGAACAACTCTATCGTGAATACAAACGCGGTAATTATAATCAATATATATTCGATCAAGCCTATGTTGATGCCATTTCATATATTCAACAAAATTTCTTTTCCAATTTTTTATCATCAAACTTATGGACACAATATTTGAAACAACAACAACAATCTCAAAAATCTTCATCAGTAATAACATTGGCCTGTCTTGATGATTTAAAAAACGTCAATAATCGTTATTATAAAAACATTAAATTAGAAAAATCGGCAACATCGACAAAAATAAGAAATAACCAGAATGTTGATGGAACAACGACAAAAAAAACACCAAAAAAATTAAATTTATCATTATCAGCAGTAAATACAAAATTGAAACAACAGTATACAAATGGTAGTAATGGAAATGGTGTTAACAAACCTCGTGAACTATCGTTTGATGCAAGCAAAACAATTCATATGGGTAACTTCTTTTGTTTATTCATTGTTCACTGGGGGTATTTATAAAATATGCAAATATCTACTAACAACCATCAACCCTCTCTAACTTTATAATTTAGTAAATATAAACATAATCTCCCATTGAGAGTTGAGTAGCGTGTTGCTCGTGTCTTTAGTGTGGCGTTAGTGACGTCTTATTTTTCGGAGATATATAATATGTAGCTAAGTGTAAAGTGAAATTCGTTTAAAAATCTTTACATAGTGTTATATAGTAGCGTTTGTTGTCAGTCTTTTTGTTCCAAAAATTAAATTTTATTATTAGTCCAATAAAACTATCTTTGAATTTGAATCTACGTATTTATCGTATTCTATTTTTCTCTTGTTTAGGTTCATCATCGTATGCGGATGATGTGGACATGAAAACCGTCGTAGCTCAAGTAAAAACACCATTAGCATGTTTTATACCTGGTTCAGATGTTCCATTTATGGTTTATTTGCCTATTCCCGTGTCACAAGTAACGTTAAAAGATGTTAAACCTCGAATAAATCAATTGGCTAGTACAAAACTGCCGCCGTCACATTCTAAAATACAATGTCATTATTATTTTAAACGTCGCGTTCAAGATAGTGAATTGTGGTTAGATGATAATAAAACACAATTTATTTATGAAGAAATTGAACATGATCTAACGATAGTACCAAATTTAGACGGTACAATCGTGGCGAAATTAGATTATTAAGTTTTTTTTATTAAAATTTTTGACTTCTTGTATATAGAGATTTCTACTGTTCATTTATCAAAATGAATGAATAATTAATAAATTTTTATAAAGTTTGAAATAAAATCTGAATATGAGTATCAAGAAAAAAGACAACAACATAGTGAAAATAGAGATTCTCATTTGTCAGATTATGTTCTGACCTTCTTAGCGTTCCTCACCCTGTGTTTCAAATCGCCATTTCATATTTGTATGTGGCGTGAACTTGATAAAGTCTCTGCTATTGTAATATTTTCTCACTTTAGAATGTACATGTTTTAGTTGTTTTACTAGAGGCTAGATCGTCATCTATTTATCATGTTAATAAAAATGTTTGTCATAGAAAAATTTAAATTTTCTTTTTAAAGAAGTCACAAACGAATAACAGGAAAATATTTATGATATTAAAAAAGTCTTACATGGTTGTGTTACAACAAGAGATAATAGTAGTGAAATGAAAATTTATATAATTTTCAAATTTTTCGTACTATCTAAGGAGCAAAAAGTGTTTTTACATTTTACATTTTCGTGTTATTTTATTATTACTAAGTTATGCAATGTTATCTGTTATTTATTTACATCTATGAACAAAGCTAATTTCCCAAAGTAATAAAAAGTGTATTGTTATTGCAATATATATCATCGAAAAATGAAACAGTTTCTATTACAATATGGATAGTGAAGTATTGTATGTTTTAAAACAAAGTCTGTCAACTCCAGAAACTTTTGATCAAAAATTGTACAGGAATAAAATATTATTGCTTATTTCATACAGGTGGCAGTGCCTTTCGCTTTTATAGTGTTGAATAAAATTCTTGATGAGTAAAAAAAATGTTTCGTCGACAAAAACTGCTTCAGAATTATGAAATGAAAGTGATTCATGGGAGAGTGATGCTCAAGTATTATGCGCTTGAATGAAAACAGTGGATGGAAAGAAAATTATTTTAGTTCAGCGGCAATATCTCATCACTTCAACACAGCTATAATTCTGCTGTTTCAGGAATGTGAAGAACTATCTTAAACCTAAGTCGAATCGAAAGTGACTAAATAGAGATAAATCGAAGCTAAACCGATTTATTGCGCTTTTCAACATTTTTGAAGCGTTACCTATAAAGTACTGGGAAAAGAGAGAAGAACGATTAATAATACCATTTTTATTATTAATCATATATCATCATAACTCTTTACAGCTCAATGTCCATTTGAATGGACATTGGCATTATCATTATAACGAACTAAAGAAGCATTGTTTGAAAAAACGCATCTTATATCAGGTGTAGAGAATTAAATTGGCTATCGAATGGTAAAAAAATTTTGTTTGTGTTTTATGCTAGCGAAGATATTCAAATTTTAAATTGAAGATTTTAAAAATATTTAATTTTTTTAATTTACTTTTTTTAGGGACTTTAGGAAGTTTTTTATTCAACGACTTTTCAGAAATATGTAGGGAGGTGTGTTCTTTCAAATTATGTCAGCTAAATAAATTATTGTTGGAAACTGTAGGCTGCCGATGGTACAAAACGAAAGATCATATTTTGCTGGGATGTCGGGCTACTTTCTTGATAATTTTTGATTTTCTTCACCATCTGAGATCATTTTCTAGTCTCAACTTCCTCAAACATAATGGTCTAAACTTAGATACGTTTGGTCTTTGGTTTCTAACGAGAATTTTTGAAAAAATAATTTTTTTTCAATCGTGAGAAAGTCATATCGAGGTCTCATATGTTTTTTTGTTTTTTTTAAACTTTAACTCTCATCTCTCCGGTCCAATGGCACTGAAATCGGGTTATCCCATTGCATCTGTGTCCAAACGTACCAAGACAATAAGCATTAGTTAGTTTATCCAAGACTATCACGCGCCCGTCGTTGGATTAGAACCCCGTATGTTTGAAGTACGTTGTCTACCCACTATCCGACTGATTATTTTCATAAGCGGTTATTTTTGCATAAGCGCTCCGGAGCACTGCTCACATGTTCTATTTTCATAAGCGGTTTACCCAAAACCAAGCGTTAAAGCCTTGGGGACTGAAAGCGATAAATAAACGAACTGAATTGAGACGAAAATAAACCATATTCCGATTCAGATATTGTATCTTTTGTAGTCCACTTTCCTTCTCTTGTTTAACGATCGTAAATAGGGTCATTCGAGGCATAGACAAATTTTATTTATCAAGATTTTCTTCATTACTTTTATACAGTTCAAAAATATGAATTCCGAACTGATCATTTCCACTAAAGACAGAATTACTCGTTCAAGTTTGGTTCTATCTTCGAAGCTTCTTTTTTAAGAATCACGACGTTCTATATTAAAGAAAAGAGCTACACTCTTGAAATTTCATTTTAACTTGATTCTAAAAATATGAAGTTACTACAAATCCTAGCGTGCAGCAGTTGACAATCTGCATCTATATAGAATCATCCATACTTCTTGAAAATTTTTTGATAAGTCAGATGATTTATGATTTCTAGATCGATTTCACTCAAGTACTTGAAAAATGAAGACAAGATCATCATCATTATTATCATTATTGTTATTCAAAGTTCTTTTGTTCTAACTATTATCGTGCTATCAAATCATAAGCGATTGCGAATGACTTTTAATTCTGCACACGTTACCGTCATTTTTTCAGGCTAACATAACAGTACATAGAATGACTGGAAAAACCTTTGATTTATGCAAGATCTCGAGAGAAAAGTTACCAAAATGCTTTCAATCTAAATCATTAAACTCTATTTTCTTTGATTTTAGATTGCTATATTTTTTTAAACATATTATTGGAAATTAACTCTATTCGTTCTGATGAATTTAACTGCGTGAAAATGATGTCATTCTACGCAAAATACGCGAGCTATGCGGCCATCCGATTGTCATAGAAAATATTATAATTCATTGTGTCAATTATTATTCAGGTTCAAAGTTCGGTATAACCACCACTTATGGTTATATTTTGGATTTTTCTCCAAAGTAAACTTTTGTACGCTAAAAATGATTAAGTTGTATTTTATTTATTTTTTTTCGAATTCTTGTTTTAAAAAAAATTGTTCAGACTCGCAAAATGTATACAATATGTACAAAACATGTTTTATGTCAAATTTAAGAAAAAAGCTCTTTTATGTTCTATGCTACATAAATTTATCGCACAGGAGCGGCACTTGATCAACAACAACAAAAATAGAACGTGATTTTCACAGAAAAAGAAATAAAACGAAAAGTATATGCATACAAATTCTTCAGTGGATTCTGTTTTCAAATTAATTAAAATATGTACACAGACAAACAATGCTAAAATGCATTGAACAACTTTCTCACCGGGTATATTGCATTTCAACGAAAAAACAAATAGGTCGGGAAAAATCGACACACCACAAATAAAAAAGAAGGAAACTACAGTTGTGCTTTATAGTGGGTGGCCAAATTGATTGTATCTGGGTACGTTTCTAATATTTGTACACATTCTTCAATTATTTTTTTATTTTCATCTTTTAATTTTGTTGTTGTTGTTGTTGCAGAATTATAGAATTTGAATAAGATTTCTAGACTATCTTGGATTTTTCTTAGACGATCGGTTAAATTTGATGATGCTAAATAGCGAATGTGCGATGTTAACCAAAAACTATATTCTTGACTAGATTTCAATACATTAGAACGATTTATCATTGTTTCTAAGTAATTTGAGCATAATAATTCACGATAATTTGATAAATACAACAATTCTTCATCCTGATTAGTTGTTGTTGTTGAGGTAGTTGACTGTTGGGTGAAAGATAAATTAGCTAATGGTCCAATTGATTTTGGTAATGAAGAATCAAATAAAATATCTTGTCTCTTGTAGAGACATGTCCAATGTTTTAAATTCGAATCATACGCATACAAATGACCATTACCTTAATAACAAAATGAAATAATTTATCATGCCTAACTGAGCTTTATTTTAAATAGTCTCCGTTCTCAAATATTTTGCCTACGATCTTACTTGTGATTATACATATTGTTTTATTTGTTAAATGTTTGAATGTAAATATATCGACAATGCTAGAATTAGCTGTTACTAAATGGCCAATATAAGAATCATTCATTACACACTTCATTTCTGTAGTTGTCAACAATAGTTCAAATACTGTCAATGTTCCATTTGAATAAACAACGGATATTGTACACGTTTGATCATTCTTACTCTCCGAACAATACAGTCCTGCAAGCGGTTGAATTAGACAAATATTTGAATATAATCTTAGACCGCTTTGTGTTGTTAATACATATAAATCGTACAAATGTTGAGATTCTTCATATGTGGATAGACAAAGAATTTGTGAACAAATACTAAGAGTTAGAATTGGTGATTGAAATGAACTTTTCCAAAGTAATAGATGATTGTCATGAGAATAACATGATAATAAATGAATGGATTTCTTTTGAAGATAGTTTTCGATACGATATTCGTTTTTGTTCGATAGTTTTAGAAAATTCGATTGTAGTTTTAAAGTTGGAAATATAACAGACGCGCTAGTTGAACGAGATAAGGGTGAAGAAAGTAATGATGGATGAGGAGGTGCAGTGGTGGTTATTGTTGAAACAGTTAAACGTTTATCACACGGAATGGGAGGAATACGTTTTTCTTGTTGTTGATGAGGTGTTTTAAATGGATCATTAGTCAACACAAGAGGTTTCGATGAACTCACCGACGCCATAGACGATACTACTTGAGTATCACTAGATTAGAACAAATAAGAATTATTCAAATGAAAGCAAACAAACATCAAATATTACCTTGATGTAATCATATCTTCATCTCCATTTGTTGTAGCTGTTGCAACACAAAATGGTTTAATACATCGTCGTCCGTCTGTTAAACGTCGCTCACTTTGATCAATATGCACTGAAGTTATCACTGTTGTCGTTGAGGCACTCGTCAGTACTGAGGTTTGTTGTTGCACTGATGGAGAAGGAGCGATCTGAGTTGGTTGAACTGTTACCGCTTTATCACTTGTGGATTGAGCAGGTTGTGATTGGATATCATTTGAAGAAGAGACATGACCATTAGTTAGTTTTGGTTTGGGAGATGGAGGACTAAAACCACAACAAATAACGTTAATGTTACTTCAAAAGTAACATGTCTGAGCAATACGTTCCTACATTGCCATTCTTTTGTATTTAAAAGTCTTTTAACTTCAAGAATTCTAATACATCGTATTTATGTATCATTCAGAAGTTTTTATTGAGCACCCTTATTTCATTCTTTGTAGAACAGAAAAAATCATAGTTTATTGTAACAGTTCGATCAAATATCTAGAATGCTATGATACTTTTGCACAATAACGTACTATCAATAAGGCACTCTGACGCGGTGTATTTATGTCAAAATCTTTTAAAAGCAGAACTTCCTTGAAAACCAAACCTTTCTCTTCAAACAATCATCGCTATTTTCTCAAGACATTTGTTATTGATGGTACTAACCGAGGATTTTGAACAATATTATTAACTGTTGTTTGATGCTGTATTTTGATTGGTGAAGATTGTATAATTTGTGGCTTTTTCATTCCTGAACTTAGATCGAATCTATCTCTGGGAATTTTATAGTACTGAGACCAAAACTCGCACATTTGCTCATACTCGAATGGTTTACCTAAAACAAAGCAACATATTCGTTAAGAAATATACTTTTTTTACCGCCTACAAAAAGGTTTAGACTGAATTCTTTCAAAAGTCATTTTTTGGCGTTATATATGCATCTTAAAATTTACCTAATTCATTTTGTTCAAATAAAATAACACAACAGGTTCCGTCCAGTGAGCACAATGCCAAACATATGTTCTTTCGAGTTGGTATTAGAGCCCAAGTCATATCCACAATAGAATTTGAAAATAAATCTCGTAATCCACACACCGCTTGTCGGGGACTTGTTAACCATAACGAAACAGAACGATCACGACTACCAACAGCCACTAAACACCGTTTTTTCCCTACAATAAATACAAACATAATTTTTATCAATCTTTCATAATAGTGACGTATTGAAACTACCGTTAATTTCTAATATTCTTGGAAAATATCTAACACAGGTAACTTCTTTTTTGTGTCCAGCTAAATCCTCTTTAAATTGCCATGTTTTTCTGGCAATTGTTTTAGCAACGGGAAAACAACCGTTTTTAGCATGAGCTGTTGTTAATGTTTGGCCATCGGGTGACCAACTTAATCGAAGATACTGTGTGAAATCAGCACATTCAATAAATGGTTCATCAATTGTTTTTTCTACTTTCCATGATTGAGTTGACCAAATTTTTAATGTACAATCAGCACATTGTGACGCTAAGTAGACACATGTTGGATCCCATGCAATGCCTTTGACAATTCCTGTGTGACCTTCTAATATAGCTATCACACTTGTTAACGTTTTACCATCATAAACAATAATTTTATTATCAACCGAACATGAGGCTAGGTAACGATCGGCTACAAAAATAACCAAAAAGTAGTTGTACTCTCAGTACGGGCGAAAGATAAAGTGCTTACCGGGTGCCCAACTGAGATCCAAGACTTCGGCTTTATGTTCACGTAGGACTACCCGAGTGGACCATTTTTCTGGAAAATTTGCACTAAATGCCGACGCGGTAGTTGGTTCTAAAACATAAAAATATAGAGAAGATAACATCATATTGAAGTTGAAAATCAACAGAGAATCGACTTACTTACGTTGAACAATACTTGTACCAGTTTTGTGGTAGATTGTCACTGTTTCTCCTTGTGCTACTGCTAATACATGTCCTTTAAGAGAAAATCGTACACAGTGAATGCAAGCCTGTGACTCAATTCGACACAATAGTTTTGGTGTTAACTGATCGAGTTCTTTGTCTTCGTCACAAATCGGCAGTAAATTCCAAATCAATATACAATACGTTTTTGATAATTGACCTCCTGTTACAAGTTTTGAGCCATCTGGATGGATGTCCAATGATGATATTTGTGTCTCCGAACCATGTATCCAATTCGGTTTAATTATTTTCATTTTTCGTAAGTCAATTCATTCTAAAACAGATAAGAGAACTTAATAAACAAGACCTATTAATTTAAATCATCTTTAGCTACAAATTTCACATATAAAAGCACACACACACATATATATATATATAGTTATTGGTTAGTTTTTCGTCTCTTCCACTCTAGGCAGAATACGAACATTACAATTGTCCTTATCTTTATGCAATATTATCATCACAAAAACGTTGTTATTTCTAAAGTAGACAAAACTGCACTTATCCTTGCTTTCAATGATATTTGTGGAGTTAAAAAAGACAGTATCATGGCGATAACTACAATGAAGAAAGCTGAAACACTTTACAGTGTTTGTCCCAAACCACTTTGTCTCAATCGCCCTCAGTTCAGAGTATTTCATTCCATTAATCTTTTTCTTCTATAAGACTCTCATTTACACTGTTCAAAATTAATACAGCCAGCTTCAGGTAACAAAAAAAAGAGGAAATTTGCCGAAACACTAACACAAACCAAAAGGTACGGTTTACTCTCCGGTTGGATTGTGAAAATCGCAATTCGAATAGTCCATAGTCTATTCCTGTTTTCATTTACAAAAAAGTTAAACTTTATTCTTTACGTTTGTTAATTAAAACTGAAAAAGAGACTCGTAATCATAATAATTTAACTGAATCTCTTTGTGTTGTGAATCTATTTATTTTTTTCTCTTTTGCGTTCTTTGCAACCTAATTGGATTTCATTCTTCCAATTGACAGCTAAGAAAATTCAAAAACGGATACTGTGAAGTAAAGGAAAGGAATCGAAAAATGGCTTATGATATTAGATAAAAAATCATGCTCTTTCTATCAGTGTTAACAAAAACTCTATGATCTGAATTTCAGACAAATTTGTCCTCTACACGATAAAGAATTTCTGCCAATAAATTTAGTTATCATTCCCTATAAGGAGGGATGTAATTTTTCATCACTGAAGTTAGCTTAGGTTTTCGTATTAGCATTGTGTTAACAGTAAATTGAAGCTGTGTATTAGTCGGAATAGTGAAAAACAAGGAACTGTACGTTACATTAGTATATCAAGTCATTTTATCCACGGCTTAATGTAGTTAGAATACATAGGATAATTTGGTGTATAAACAGAAACTCAATTATATTTGGATTTTTGCTTCTCAACTTTCAGCACATACCCGCGTCTTGTAAGATCTATATAATTAAGTTCCTCGATAAGTGCCACTGAAAGTATCCGAAGAATCATTTACCCTGTTGGCGACAGAAAATTGCATCATTTCCATGTAAGTGGTCATAAACAACCTAACATCAACGAAAACAACGTTGAATTGAAAAAAATTAATGTGCGTGATAAGAAAAATACACAGATGATCACTAAAGGGTGTCGACTTTCGCGTGATGCGGCTACTTCGATGAGTCTGATTTTCTCAAAAATTTTTGTTTTGATCAATAACTTTATACAAAACTGATGTGGAGTTCATTTGTTGATCTATTGAGAAATTTTGTGAACGCTCATTTATTACTGTCGTCCCCATTATAAGAAAAGAAGAAAAGAGTGGGAATTATTTTTCTTAATAACTACTTCCCTAGTGTTTTCTTCTTAAATTAAATGAATATCAGTAAAAAGCAAAGGTTATCTTTGTTTTCTATTGAAAATCACGATGTACAAAGAATTTAAGAGAATACGAACAGTTTTGGAGTATTCCAATCTCTTTGACAACTACAATTTTAGCGGACTCTTAGACAATTATTTGAACGCTGTTTTATTTTCATGATACATCATTCAAAATTCATTTTTATTTTAGATTAATAAAACATGAATCGTTCTCCTGAAAATTTGAATCCAACAATCTATGAGCGTACAGAGGAACGTTCAATTGTTGACACTGACTATGATAATGAAAAATCAGATGAATTTGATAAACGTGAAATATTTGATCTTATTCGAACTATAAGTGATCCAGAGCATCCGTTAACGTTAGAAGGTACGACTTGATGTTATTGTGTAGACCACTTGAGAATTTGAAGTAGTTTAAATACTACTGTATACTTTATTATACTATCGTCTAATCGTTTATTATTCATAATCTTGTTTTAGAATTGAATGTTGTCGATATGGATGGAGTTCATATCGATAATGCACAAAATACAGTTGAAATTCATTTCAAGCCAACAATTCCACATTGTTCAATGTATGTATATCTTTATATTTATGTTTTGTTAATTTAATTTTTTGTGTATGTTACTGTAGGGCAACATTAATTGGTTTAAGTATTCGTGCGAAATTATTATATACATTACCACCACGTTTCAAAGTGAAAGTAAATATTCTGGATGGTACACATATTCAAGAACATCAAATTAATAAACAATTAAATGATAAAGAACGAGTGACAGCGGCACTAGAAAATTCACATTTAGTATCTGTTGTAAATAGATGTATTATTAATCAAGATGGGATGGAGAATAACGGTGAAGATAAAGAAAATAATTATCGTTAAACAATCGTATCATTTGTACAGGTTATTATTTTTGTGTCATTTGTTTTTTCTTAATTTTTATCAGTATTTTTTTCTAAATCAGCTAGTTGTTTTTGAACGTATCACTTATACTCCATTTATTTTCTTTCTGTTTCTATATTATTTCATTAATAAAAATATGTTCGGTGAAATATTTCTAAATTATATTTACTCGTTTATCTGAATTCCTAACATTCACTTTTAAATAGAAATTGATACTGAAAAATTTATATTTTTATTTACATTACAGATTTTTATGAACAATAATGTCCTCAGCCGTTCCAAAAAATGTATCACCTTTGATTCGTGCGTGTCGTTGGGGTCTATTATTGACGGGTGTTGTCTACGGTCGAATTCATTATAAAACAGTAAAAGCTAAAGAAGAAAAAGTACATGAGAATGAAATTAATAAAGCAACAGATCATTATATACAAAAATTAGGTGAAAAGAAAATTATGGGTGAACAATCGATGGTCGAATTAGCACATGCAGCCGGTGTTGATCCAAATCGTGCACGAATCAAACAACAAATAACGGATGCACAACATAATGATCAGACACTAGTGAATAAAATGGATAATGATATTACAGCCACAGCACCTGTTTCACAATCATTAAAAACATCAAAAACATCGCACCATTGATTAATTAATTAAATTTAAACATTTTTTTGTTTTCCGTCATCGTTTCCCGTTCTACAATTTAGTGTATAATTCTCTTCTTATTTTTTTTAGAACATCACTAGTCAATTAGAACGTTGGCGTGTTTTTCGTTTTTTGATAAAATAAAGTCTCTTATTTTGCTTTTGAATTGTAATTAGACTTGAGTATTTATTTAGAGTCTAGTTGTCATTTTTAATTTTAGAAGAGATCTGTAGGATTAAATTTTTCAAGAAAGACATAAATGTAAAGAGTACGTGACAATAGTTCTCATCCTTAATATATTTAAAACTTTATTTGGCGAAACATTGCTTGACAAGGATTTATATATACAAATGGATTGTAGAAAACTATATTGTCTTGGCAAGTACGTGCATGGTATTAGACATAAGAAAACAATTTTTTTTTTTATTAAATATTTTTAAAAATATTTTTTTGTAGAATAGCTTGGACTGTGTGCTTCTATTTTCCAGACAATTTTTTCCTTGTAATTTTATTAGAATTTACGATCCACACGATTTATTAGCGAACTATAGGCGAAGGGAGTTAAGTTTTTATCAATTAAAGTTAAACCGAAGCAAAAAAAAACGAAAACGATAAAACTTACGATTTTTAATTGCAATTTCAAACAAAAAACACCGTATCTTAGGAATACAAAAAAATAATATATATAAAGTAATATATATTAAAACAATATCAAATATATCTTACTACTTTGAATAGATGAACCGTTGGTTTATTGCATGGTTGTATTTGATAGGATCCTGTCGTTATAACTTATCGGTAATAGATCGTTATTTGCTCAAATTTTATTGCGAAAACTGGCTCCTCTTGACCACACAAAATATATGAATAATTTCAAAGAAAATATTGAAATATAAAACAAGTGAAATAAAATGATTATTGCATATGCAAATTAGTTAAAATTTTTCGGCTTAATTCCTCTTAAACAAATGTGTTCTTGGTTGATCTTGCACGGAAACTGGTTCTCTAACAGGTTGTACACACGTATTTTTTCTTTCATCATTTATATCGTTGTGATGGTCATAATAATCATCATCTTGTTCTCGAAGAAGAATATCTTGAATTTTTTGTCTTGAATTATTAACTGGTACAATCATGTGACTATCTGATATTATAACAGAATCTTGATTTTGATTGTATGGTTGGATATTCTCCTTTGATACTGTCATCATTATTGACGGATGTATGATATCATGCGGTGGAATCACACCCCCATCATCACTACTTGATCTAGTACTATCATTTGCTGACAGACTATTAGACAATCCATTTGTTGGTCGTCGAATTTGATTGGTTACTTTAATAATATTAGCCACAGTTTTACATTTATTTCTTAATTTTATCATATATTCGTGATCGAGACGTTCCATTTCTCGACGCCGTCTATACGGTACATTAAATAGCCAAATGACAAGTGCTACATGAATAATACAGTAGATAATAACTAATGCGATGAATATATAACGATCAATTAAAATACTTTTTATCACCATTCTAGGATCATTTTGAGTTAAAAATGTGATGTGACCAATGATAGAATGCCAAATACACATCAAAACGAGAATCATGATTGAAACAATGGCATATTTATCTAACGTTGTTAAGTAGGATATTGTAGGCTAAAATACACGAAAAAAATGAGACATTATTTCAAAAATTTTACTACTTACTAGCGAACGGTTGACGACCCATCGAAATGTTATCGATGTTAGTAATAGGGTACATGTTGTTTGTATACGATTTTGAGGATGCCTAGAAAAAAACGTGAATGTGTCAATGTTGAATTAGATAAAACACATATCGATCTCTTTATATAAATTGCTGAAGCAATTTGCATGAGATTGGTTTTATTTCACTTACTGTGGTGGTATAGCAAATATACAAAATGAGCAGACAGTAATTAGAAATATGAGACAAAATCCATTCCAATAATAGTAGAGGGGTCGGCGTGCTAGAAAGAAAATAATGAGGTGTGTTTCTTCGACAGAATAGATGTGGAAGAAAGAAAGATCAAAGAAAACATGCGTCTCCATCGGGAGTTAAATCTAGGACCATCTGATTACTGTCGAGAAACTTTAATCACCGTCTTTTACGACATCTCGATTTATGTTCCGCTACAAAAACGTATCAAATAATTCAAAATTAAGGTAGAATATATAAACCTGCTCGACAGGTGACGGAGAATACAGGATGTTTTCTTTGTTCTAAAGATTCTTCTTCCAATGAATATTCTTCCTTTATTTCTCGTCTATCTGTGGCTACATGTTCATATAAAATCCATTCTTGTTGATCAACGAATGCTTCACGATTAACTCCTGATGATAAATTTTCATCTTCTTTCAATATAACATGTTCAACATAGTGATGAGTTGTCAATGATATTGTTAAATCTTGTACATCAGCCGGAAAATGATTTAATTCTAATTTTTCCCAAAATACACCATTAATTCGTCGATGTTCACATATTTCTATATTTAATGTCGTTGATATTGTTGCTAATGCGCATGTCAACGGCTGATCAAGTTTTTTAATTGTAAACCATTTTGCTTGTTCACCTACGAATAGATCAACGAAAATATTTATGTGTAATATAAGATATTAATTTTATACCTATTTGTCCAATGGCATTTTCAATAAACAATTCTGGTGTCCAATGAATAGTTGAATTTAAATCGGTTATTCGTATCGTTTTTCCTTCGGCTAGTTGTTGTTCTTGTTGAGATGTTAAATCTAGTGTGCTCAATACTATTGCTGTATCTGTCCATCTTGCTTCGATACACGCTTCAGCTTGATATCTTTCATTCAATGTATCAATTTCACCTAAATGAAGATTAAAACATTCATTTTACTATATATGTTAAAATCTTTTTTATACCAACCAATTCTGACAAAAATTAATCGAATTCGTACAATTTTTGTAAGATTGGATAATTTTGTTTTGATAGTTATGGCCGTTGCTTCTGTTGATTTGTCATTACAAATATGATCAAGAGTTCGAGACTGTTTCGTTCGAAATAAACGCATTGGTAAATGATTACAACAATTATTCAACACCGATTTACTATGCTCAAATAAATTGTAAAATTTGTCAAGTGGAATATGGTGGTATGTGAATAACGATCATAAGCTGTAAAAATTGCTTCTTCTTCTTCTGTTATTCTTGTTATTATTGATTTTGGAACGTTTTTCTACAGCAGTTGAATTAGGAATCAGGATTATATAAAACAAATTAGGATTTCTTTTCATAATCGTACCAATTTTTATCCGGTATTTTAAGATGTTCACGTGATGTGAATAAGGATGAACGGTTTGCAATTAAAAAACTTGATCAGCCGTTGAC